TGCATCTCAATGTAAAGAAAACAAAAATCCTCACCACTGGACCAATAAACAACATTCTTATCAACAGAGAAAAGATTGAAGTTGTCAAAGACTTCATTTTTCTCAAATCAGCCATCAACACTCAGGGAAGCAGCAGTCAAGAAATCTAACGACATATTGCATTAGGCAAACCTGCTGCACAAGACCTTTTTAAAGTGTTGAAGAGCAAAGATGTCGGCTTGAGGACTAAGTTGCACCTGACCCAAGCCATGGTATTTTCAATAACCTCATATGCATGCGAAAGCTGGACAGTGAATAAGGAGGACCATAGAAGAATTGATGCTTTTGAGTTATGGTGTTGAAGGAGAATGTTGAAAGTTCCATCGATTGCCAAAAGAACAAGCCAATTTGTGCTGGAATAAGTACAGCCAGAGTGCTCCTTAGAGGCCAGGATGGATAAACTTCGTCTCTCATACTTTGGACATATTATCAAGAGGAACTAGTCACTGGAGGCGGACATCATTTTTGGTAGAGTACAGGGCCAGAGACAAAGAGGAAGACCCCCAACAAGATGGATTGCCACATTGGTGGCAGCGATGTGCTCATGTGTAGCAACGATTATGAGATTGACCTAGGATCAGGCAGTGCTTTGTTCTGTTGTTCATGGTGTCACTATGAGTTGGTGCCAACTCAAAGGCACCTACCAACAACAACAAAATATTTTTTGAAGACAGGAGTCTAAATGTCTGGGGACCCTATTGATAATATATGTTAATCTTTACTTGGGAAGAAATAGCGGCGGCACACCAGAAAGCTACCTGAGACTTGGACAGGCTTGGGTCTAAAGTTGGACTTGGCTACCACCAACTGTGATACTAGGCAGAGTGAGAGAGGTGGGAGGGAAGGGCAGGAAAAGGATGGAAGCAAGGTATAAGGGATTAGGAAAGCATGTTTTTGTGCTGTTTTCCATAAGGTGCTGAGGGGATGATGCTTTGATACAGTGGTATCTGAGCAGAACCTTAAAGGAAATGAGGAATTGTGATTCACATGATATGATTGCTAATTTGCCTTTCTCATGTCTTTTCTTTTCAAAGCAAAGAAGATGACATGCAGACTGTCAAGAACTGTGTAAATATCACGAGACTATTTTGTAACCTAACAGATGTGTGGGACAACATGGAAGAGTCCTACCTCACAAGAGTCATGGGATTTAGAGGAAACACAGAACTGATCCATTGTAAGATGGGTTTCTTCCCACTCATGAACAGTAAGTTAATCTCTCTCTCCCATCTTCATCCTCATCCTCCTCAAAGTCATTGTTATCTGCTCTGCCATGAGATAGGAAGGTCTGCACAGGTGTGTCATACTCAGCGAGGGTCACCTCCTGCCTCTGCCACTAGCTCTGTAACCATGGACTGGTTACTTTGCTTCTCTGTGCCTCAGTTTACTTATCTGAAAAGTAGAATGATAATCTATACTCTGCAGAACATTAACAAAATGCCTGTGTGTGTGTGTGTGGAAGCAACCAGTTGCTGTTTTTCTGTTTGTTTCACAAGCTGGTAGAAGTGTAGTTCTGGTGACCTGTGTCTAACCTGCCACGACTCTTTGACCGTTGTTTTCCTTGCTATTGCAACTCTACTTCCAAATCATAGCCCAATAGATTTTTTTTAGATCATCGTTATTGTAGTAAAATATATGTAACAAAACATTTGCCAATGAAGCAACTTTTTTCCCTTCAGTGGCGTTAGACACTAAACACCGAAGACCAGAAGAGTTGTGGGATGTCATCAAGAACATCACATAAGAAGAAAGCAAAAGGTCATTACAAAGACAAGAAAGAAGGGAAAGACCAAAATGAACATCAAAGGAGACTCTGAAACTTGATCTCCAGCATAGAAATGCTAAATAAAATGGAAGAAATGAGGGGGCAAAAGAGCTGAATAGAAAATTGCAAAAGGCATCTTGAAAAGACAAAGTCAAATAATATAATGAAATGTGCAAAGACCTGGGGTTCGAAAACCAAAAGGGAAGAACACATGAACACATTAAGCTGAGGGAATTGAAGAAAAAATTCAAGCCTCAACTTGCAATGTTGAAAGATTCTATGGGCAAAATAATGAATGGTGCAGACAGCATGAAAAGAAGATGGAAGGAATACACAGTGAATGTACCAGAAAGAGATGATTGATGTTCCACTATTTGAAGTGGTAGCATATGATCAAGAGCCAATGATACTGAAGGAAGAAGTCCAAGGTACATTGAAGGCATTGGCAAAGAACAAGGCTCCAGGAATTGATGGAATACAAATTGAAATCTTTCAGCAAACTGATACAGTACTAGAGGCACACACTCACCTATGCCAAGAAATTTGGAAGACAACTACCCTGCCTCCTGACTGGAATAGATCCATATTTGTGACCTTTTCAAAGAGAGGTGACCCAACAGAATGTGGAAATCATCAGATGACATCATTAATATCCCATGCAAGCAAAATTTTACTAAAAATAGTTCAAAACGCCTGCAACCATACATTGACAGAGAACATCCAGAGTTTCATGCAAGACTCAGAAGAGGTACTACGGATACGATTGCTGACCTCAGTTATATGTTGACTAAAATCAGAGAATACCAGCAAGGTATTTACTTGTGATTTAGTGACTATGCAAAGGCTTTCAATTGTGTGGATCATGACAAACTATGGACAGCATTGCAGAAAATAAGTATTCCACAATAGTTAATTGTCCTCATGAGGAACCTGTACACTGAATAGTTTAAGATTAGGAATGTTGTGTGCCAGGGTTGTATTCTTTCACCATACTTACTCAATGTGTATGCTGTGCCAATAATGTGAGAAACTGGATTATATGAAGAAAAACGTGGCATCAGAATTGGAGGAAGACTCATTAACAACTTGTGATATTCAGATGATACAACCTTACTTGCTGAGCGTGAAGAGAACTTAAAATACTGATGAAGATCAGCAACCATAACCTTCATTATGGGCTGCACCTCAATGTAAAGAAAACAAAAACCCTCACCACTGGACCAATAAACAATTTCCATATAAATGGAGGAAAGATTGAAGTTTTCAAAGACTTCATTTTGCTTAGATCAATCATCAATGCTCATGGAAACAGCAATCAAGAAATCAAACAATACATTGCACTAGATATATCTGCTGCACAAGACCTCTTTGAAGTGTTGAAGAGTAAAGATGTCAGTTTGAGGACTAAGGTGCACCTGACCCAAGCCATGGTATTTTCAATAACCGCATATGCATGCTAAAGTTGGACAGTGAATAAGTAAGACCACAGAACACTTGATGCATTTGAGTTATGGTGTTGGAGGAGAATATTAAAAGTACCATGGGCTGCCATAAGAACAAATAGATCTGTGTTGGATGAAGTACTGCCACAGTACTCCTTAGAAGCCAGAATGGCTAGACTTCATCTCTTATATTTCAGACATATTGTCAGGAAGGACCAATTGAAGGATCAATAAAAAAGAGGAAGACCCCCAACGAGATGGATTGCCACAGTCGCAGCAACAATGGGCTCAAATGTAGAAACAATTACAAGTTTGACGCAGGACTGGACAGTGTTTCGATCTGTTGTGTATAGGGTCGATACTGACTGCATGGCACCTAGCAACAAGTAGCTTATCCTACAGTACCACAACAGGACCCCAGAGGAAATGCAGGAAGTCTGATTTTTGTGATGGCAGTATGAGTAAAAACTTTAACACGTGCCTACTCTAATTCTTCTTTAGTTATTTATTCTAGAGAACAATAATTGAGGATAAATGTAAAGATTTAGCTCAAAGAGTATTCCTTGACATATTGATAATATTCAGAAAAATTATTGACCATCTTATGTTCAAAACACCAAATTGGTTAAATTATAAACTCTGGTAGCATAGTGGTTACGAATCGGGCTGTGAACCTTAAGGTCAGTAGTTCAAAACTACCAGCGGCTCCACGGGAGAAAGATGAGGCTTTCTGCTCCCGGAAAGATTTACAGCCTCGGAAACCCTATACAGGGTCGTTATGGGTCGGAACTGACTCGACGGTACTTAACAACAACAACAATTTAGTAGAATATAATTAACCATGAAAGATGATGCTGTAAATTAGGGATCTATAAAGGGCTGGTAAGAAATTCTTTAGACTTGGTGGGCCACATATGGTGTTTGTCACTGATTCTTTATATTTTTGCTAAAAATCAAATAAGTAAAATAAAACAAATAACACAAACAGAACATTCTTAACTCCCAGTCCATGCAAAACAGACTACCCACAGACCATAGTCTTCTAGATTAAGATGGACTCAGAAGAATGGCCTGGTGAGTTACTTCCAAAAATTGGCCATTGAAAACCTTAAGGATCATAAGAGTCCAATTCCCAGCCTATCAGGGGGTTGGCGCTGAACCACACAGTGTTTCATTGCATTGTATGAGAAGGAGCCATGAGTTGGGGGCCAATTTGATGGTGCTAGCAAGAACATGACAAAACATGATTAAGTACATTCAGGAATAATTGCCCTTCTGTATTTTCTGATAGTTCTACAATGATTATATATTATTATTGTCATGGGGGTGGGGTGGGGAGACTTTTGTATGTGTGCGTGTTTGTGTGTGTATGCTTAGAATACATCCTGTAAATTGGAAAGTTGCTGATTTCCATCCAGAATTTTTGCTTGATGTCTTGGGGTCTTATTTTTAAAACATATATATTGTTTCTGGCTCTTAACCAATAAAATAAAAATGTATATGTAACAACTATGGCCATTGACAGATTAAAGAAAATATAGTGTAAAGAAGTCAATAAGCCTGTAGTATGACCATAGCAGACATTATGATTATATTGGCATTGACTGATCATTTGATATGTTTTTGGTTTTGTCTCCAAGCACTGTCTTTTGAACCACCAGACTTTGAGATTTTTGGCTTTATGGACCACATTAATGTGATAGTGAAATTTCCATCCTACACTCCCAAGATAATAAATGTGCATTATTTTTCTCTCATCATTGAACAGCAGTCAGGGAAGATTGTGAAGAAGGTAAGTGGACTCTGATGTTAGGATCAAGAAATTTTGAGTTGGCAATGAAAGTACTGGATTCTCTTTAAAAAGGAAGGAAGGCAGGGAGGGAGGGAGGGAGGAAGGAAAGAAGGAAGAAAGAAGGAAATGTAGTTGCATGACTGAAACTGAAAAGTTGGGACTTCAGTTTGATAAAAGAATAAGCCAGATTCTTATGACAGCAACAGACATGCAGCAGAGACATGTGTGGTATAGAAATGGAGAGCAACCAGATCTTCAAAAGAGGTGAGTTAGCTGAACCACATATGATAAGCACCTACTTCTGCTTCTGCAATGATCACACATGGCTCTGTCTCCTGGTTTCCCTGGGCGGCATAAACAGTTTTTGATAGGCTGTTAACCTAAAGATGGCCATTTGAATCCACCCAGCAGCACCACAGAAAAAAAGATCTGGCAATCTGCTTCTGTAAAGATTTTAACAGGAAACCCTATGGAGCGAGTCTACTTTCTAACTCATGGAATCAGCATGAGTCAGAATGGACTTGATGGCAATGAGTTTGGATTGGTGTCCACGAAAGACTTAACTGAATGTAGGCAACATTGGGGTGATCCTAATGACAGACAGACTGAATCTTCATTCAATTCCTGTTTCATTTTCTGAGCATGCTGAAATGAGCAAAAATGGGCAGACTGTTTGCATGCACCAGTGGGTCAAGCTGCAATAGCAGCTCTGTTAATGCTATACCTTGCAAAGTCTAAGAGCCTGCCCACAAGATGTTAGGCACAGGTCTACTCCAGAGAACACAGGAACACAGGAAGTCTAAAGGCCCTGAGGCTAGAGTGAGCCTTCTGGGAATGACTAACGGAGAAGTCAGAGAGGTTTTGGGGTCTCGTTCATGAAGGGCATTGTGGGCCACAGTATACCATTGTCTGTTTATTTTGATCAGAGAATGTGATAGACACCACTGAGAGCTTTGAGCAACAGAGCAACTGAATCTGACCTAAGGCTTCAACAGGGCATCCTGGCTAGTGTGTTTAGACCACGGATTAATTTTCTTAGCTTTGCCCCCTGTGTGCTCCACCACACACCGAGAGGAAGTGCAATAAATGATGTTTCATTGTGAGGATTGCAGTGAATGAGATGAAACAAAATGTGTGTGAATTCTTGAATGGAAAACAGATCTATTCTGCACACATTTACCCAATTCACAGTTTTTAAAAGAAGACTAGACCACAGGGGTTAAAGTCAGAAATGGGGGCAGTGAGAACTGATAAGATTCTGCATGTGTTTTGCATGTAGACCTGACAGTATTTTCAGATGGCTTGGATGTGCAGGAGAGAACGAGGAGTGATCTCTCAAATTTTCAGCACACACACCTGGAAGTATGGAAGTGCCATGAACTAAAATGGAAAAGAGTATGGTCAGAGCAGGTGGGGAAGTAGCTATCAGTAGTTCTGTTACAGGCCTGTTAATGTTTTAGATGCCTATTCGGCATTTGGAAGGAGATGCTGAGCAGGAGTTGAATTACAAGTTTGGAGTTCAGGAGAGAACTCCCAGCTGGAGAGATGTCCTTGGGGAGTTGTTTGAGGAGTGTTGACTTCTTGGATGTGACTTGGACACCATAAGACCAGTGAGTGAAGGTGCTGAGAGAAGAGAAGACCCCTGGAGGACCCTAAAATTTGGGGATCCAGCAAATGAGGAAGAAACCACAAAAGAATCCGAGTAGGAGCAAGGCATGTTATCAGAGGAGAACCAGGTAGAAGTGGTATAATGGAAGCCAAGAGAAGCAAGTTCAGGAGAGTGTGAACTGTAGCGTCAAAAATTGCAAACAGGGCAAATGAGAAGGAGACTGTGGCTTGATGATTGGGTTTGGCAACATGGAAGTTTGTGACCTTGAGCAGAGAAATTTAGCATTTAAGAGTGATAAGCAATATAAAACTGATGATCTTCTCCCCAAACCTTCACTGAATTCACAATAAAAAGCTGTTTGTTTTTGTTTTGTTTTTTTAAAAAACAGAGTGATAAGAAAGAGGCAAATTGGAGACAGATGAGCGCTCATTCTTTCCAGTAGTTTTCCTGTAAAGGGAAGGAGAGATATGCAGTGGAAAGTAGAGCAAAGGGAGGAGTTTTGGGGATAGGAGAAACCGCAGCATGTTCATAGGCCTATGGAGTGTTGGGGGCAGGGTGCATTGCTGAATCCTGGAGTAGGAGAATGGATGACATCTCCTGAGAACATGGAGGGGTTGCTGGGAGCAGGAATGGAGTCCCTGGAGTCACGAGAGAGGAGGAACTGGGCATAGATATGCACTGGAGGAAAGAGCTTGGTGGAAGCTTCCGTTTTCACAATGCAATTGAAACAAGCATTGCAAAACTATTTCAGATCTCTCTCAGGGCAGCACCAGGTCTGGAACCCAGGTGTTCTGCTGTTCCGCTATAAACCTTCACTCAATTCACAATAAAAAATTTCCAGAAAAAAAAAGAGTGTCAAGAAAGAGGCAAATTGGAGACAGTTAGAAGAGTCGAGCTAGAAGCCTCCCCCATGATATCTGGTCTGCTCCTTTCCCCCTTTCTTCATTACTCTTGGGTATTTAAGCAATTCCTCCTTCTTCCAAATAGAAGCCAGCAGAAAAACATGTTGTGGAAGGCTGTATTTAAGTGGCTAAAAAGCCTATGTTTTATGAAACTGCCATAGTCACTGCTGTCAAGTCCATTCTGACTCATAGCAACCCTCTAGGACAGGGTAGAACTCCACAGCATTGCCAAGGCTGTCAGTCAATCTTTACAGACTCAGACTGCCACATCTTTCACTCCCTGAGCAGATAGTGCGTTTGGACCTCCAACCTTTTAGTTAGCAGCCCAATACTTAACCCACGGTGGCATGAGGGTGCCTATAAAACCGCTAGTGATGCATTTCAACACCTGTGAATCAGTTTAAAAAGTTGTTATATCATGAAAGAAATTTCCTCTGATTTTTATAATTCCAAGTAGAGCTACTTGGAAAAGAAGAGGCAAAGTGTTTTAAGTGATAAAATAGAAAACCTAGACTTCAGCCTTATTTCTTGTACAAGCAAGCTGTGTGACCTCAGGAAGTTACATAACCTCTCTGAGCTATAGTCTCTTCATCTGCAGAGTGGGGATGATACTAACCTTGTAGTCTGTTTTGATAATCAAATAAATTAATATGTATGAAAGCACTTTCTGAAGTATAAAGTAGTCACATATTGTTAATAAGAGAATCTTATAAAACTAACATGAAGAGCTATTTCCCTGTTGGTATTTTTCATCTCATTGAGTGAAAGTACTAGATTACATGATTCCATGGTTTAGATCTATGAGGAGACTTCAAAAAGTTCATGGAAAAATGGAATGAAAAAATAATGAAACTTTTTCACAATGTTTTTGAAGCCCGCTTGTATATGCATGAATATAGTTTTCTCATAAATGACTTATTAGTACTCTTTCTTCCCAAGCCTGTGATATTTCTGTCCCTTTTTAAAATTCGAAGGCAAATCCCCCAAAGAGATATTAGGGCTGTGTCTTAGTTTCTTTGTGCTGCTGTAACAAAACTATAACAAGTGAGTAGACTTAATAAACAGAAATTTATTTTCTCACAGCTTAGGAGTCCAGAAATCCAAATTCAGGGCACCTGTTCCAAAGAAGGTGTCTCTCACTGTCGGCTCTTGGGGAAAATCTTTGTCTCCTTCAGCTTCAGTTCCTTTGGTCTACCAGTGGTGTCTAAGTTTCCCCCATTTATGCTTGCTTGTCTCTGTGTTTATACTTCTCCTTGTAACTCAGAAGAGATTGGATTTAGGTCCCATCCTACACTGATATAGCATTGTTAACATAGCAAGAAAGCCTATTCCCAAAAGGGATTACATCCAGCACACATTTGGGGGTTAAGGATTCTGACACATATTTTGTGGGAGATAATTTAATCCATAAGAATCAGTTTTGAAATGCATTTCTTGCTAAAAGTCTTATTAATTTTTGCTTATTGTTTTTACAGCACATCCCCCAAATAAATGGAAACCTTACTGGAAATTTCAGCTATGTCATTGACAAATTAATTCCAAACATAAACCATTGTGTATCTGTTTATTTTGAGCTGAAAGCTTCTGAAGAAATAATAAAATCCCCCTTAAAATGTATCCGTCTTCCCACCCAGGTATCAGGTATGTTCACCTTTGAAAATTCAGAATCTAAAAGTCATAAAGCACTGTCTAAGGTGGGTTCTTTGGAGAAGCAAAACTACTGAAGATTGTATATGTATATATAAAGACAAGTTTATATCGAGGAAGTGGCTCACACCACTGTAGAAATGGGAAAGTTCCAAGTGTGTGAGTCAGGTGAACCAGGATCAACAGGTCAAACGACAGACAGGTAGAGCAGGTAAAATAGCAGGCTGCTGATGACCCCCAGGGTCAGCAGGCAATAGAGCCACTGGCTCAGGTTCAAAGAACTGGCGGTAGAATGATGAGACAAATGTAGGACCTAAACCCAGCAAAAAGCAAGACGTTTGGCTCAAGTGTCTAATATATTAATAGCAGGCTACACACTCAAGGAAACTTCCTTTCATTTGATTGGATATTTGCAGCAGATCTCATAATGGTGTTGATTACATTATATTGTTATTGTTAAGTGCCATCAAGTTGGTTCCAACTCATAGCAACCCTGTATAAGGTTTCTGAGAAGCGACTGGTGACTTTCAACTACTAACCTGTTGGTTCAAACTGACTTTGTGGTTGAGTGCTTATCCAATAACACCACATACTAGATGTCATTATTTGTTGTGGCAGTTAGGTACCATTGAATCAGTTCTGACTGATTGCAACTCTGTGCACAACAGAATAAAACACTGCTCAGTCCTGTGCCGTCCTCACTATTGTTATATTTGAGCACATTGCAATGGCCACCATGTCAACCCATCTTATCTTGGTTGGGGAGTTTTCCTCTTTTTCACTGACCTTCCACTTTACCAAGCATGATGTGTCCATTAGGGACTGATCCCTCGGGATAACATGTCCCAAATATAAAAGACAAAGTCTTGCTATCCTGGCTTCTAAGGAGCATTCTGGTTGTACTTCTTCAAGCACAGATTTGTTTGTTCTTTTGGCAGTCCGTGGTACTGCCAATGTTCTTCTCCAACACCATAACTCAAGTATATTGATTCTTCTTTGGTCTTCTTTTTTCATTGTCCAATTTGCACACACATATGAGACAACCAAAAATAACATTACTTGGGTCAGTCAAACCTTAGTCCTCAAAGTGACATCTTTGTTCTTGAGCACTTTAAAGAGGTGTTTTGCAACAGATTTGTCCATTGCAATACGTCGTTTGATTTCTGGGCTGCTGTATCTATGAGTGTTGATTATAGATCCAAGCAAAATGAAGTCTTTGATAACTTCAATGTTTTCTCCATTTATCATGATATTATTTGTTGGTCAAGTGGTAATGGATTTTTGCTTTCTTTACATTGAGGTGCAATCCATACAGAAGGCTGTAGTCTTTGATCTTCAGTACATACTTTACGTCTTCTTTGATTTCAGCAAGCAAGGTTGTATCATCTGCATATTGTAGGTTGTTAATGAATCTTCTTCTAATCATGATGTCACATACTTCTTCATATAATCCAGCTTCTGAGATTATTTGCTCTGCATACAGACTGAATAAGTATGCTAAAAGAACACAACCCTGACAC